TCTTAAAAACCTAAAGAGGGAACACAGTAAGAAATTGTTTTTTCATCTATAGAGTTATCAGCATGAATGACTGAGGTGTATGGAACCAAACTATGTTGGAGTTAAGGGCCAGATTGGCCAACGTCCACTTGAATGGCAGAAGATTCTTGGTGGGCTGAATAGCTTCCTCCCCGTGTTCTTATGAGTCGTTAACTGAAGCTCAGCCAGTCAAAAGGAGATGGTGACATAATGGTGATATCACTGGACGAGTAATCCGGAAACCCCGAGCTAATGTTTTGAGGACATAGTTTAAATCCCACCATTGCAGATAGTGAAGTTTGAATTTAAACACAGAAACTGGAACCTTAAGAAAAGTTTCCCTAATGACAAATATGTCATAAATAGATTGTTGTCTTAAATCCCATCTGGGTCGCTAATGCCCTTGAAGGGAGGAAATCTGCTGTCCTTACCTGCTCTAGCCTACATGTGACTCCAGGTGCACAGAAACTGAGTTGACTCTGAACTGACCCTAGCCAGCTGCTCCATACAGGGGCAATTAGGGATGGGGCAACAAATGCTGGTCTTGCTAGTGACACCTACACCCCATGACAAAGTTGTCAAAAATTAAGAAGGAATTTAGTTGCCCAAGAAAATCATTGAGTGGGGGAGAGGAAGGGGAAGGAAACCAGGGCCGGTATCACAGAAGTGCTCCAGGGCAGATAGAGACCATTTGGCCGAGCATGTCTGCACTAGCTCTCAAAACGAGTATTTCACTGAGGGACATTATCCAATCCTCTCCCCCATAACCCTAAAGAATTTTCTTTCACGGTTGAATAGTCTGCTTCAAATGTTGACATAGCATTTTTTTAAAATTTGTTGGATGCGAGCATCCCTGGCTAGGCCAGTATTCATTGCCCAGAGGGAAGTTAAGAGTCACATCTAGGGCAGAAATTTCCCTTCCCTAAAGGACATTAGTGAACCTGATGGGCTTTTCCAACAATGGTTTCATGGTCATCATTAGATTCTTAATTCCAGATATTTATTGAAGTCAAATTTCACTATCTGCCATGGCAGGAATTGAAGCCCAGGTCCCCCAGAATATTACCTGCATCGCTCTTGCAATAATACCACTATACTATTGCCTCTGCAGGAGTAGAATGGTTCTCTCTGTTCTTTGACAGTGGGAACTGCTGATGCTGGAGAATTTGAGATAACAAGGTGTAGAGCTGGATGAACACAGCAGACCAAGCAGAATCTTTGGAGCTTAGAAGATCCTCAGCTGATTTGACAGGCCGATGCTATAAGGACATTTGCCCTGCTTGGGGAAATTCAGAACATGGGTCAGGAGTCTCAGAATAAAAGGTCAGCCACTCATGACAGAAATTCCTTCAAAGGAATATGAATGCTCAGAATCTTTTACCCCAGTGAGGTGTGGATTATCCATCATTATTCATCAGGTCAAGATTGATAGATTGTTGAGTAACCAAGGAATTCAGGGATGTGGGGATCCTGCAGGAAGAGGGTGTTGATCAGACAAAATTTTGGAAGGGCAAATCAGGGCAGGATGTATACACTTAATGCTAAGGTCCTAGAGCACGTTGCTGAATAAAGAGACCTTGGGATGCAGGTTCACAGTTGATTGAAAGTGGAGTCGCAGATAGGGTAGTGAAGAAGACATTTGATATGCTTGTTTTTATTGGTCAGTGCATGGAGTATAGGAGTTGTAGCTGTACAGGACATTGGTTAGATCACTTTTGGAATAATGCATGCAATTCTGGTCTCCCTGCTATAGCAAAGATGTTGTGAAACTTGAAAAGGGTTCAGAAAAGATTTACAAGGTTATTGCCCAGGGTTGGAGGATTTCAGCTACAGGGAGGGGCTGAATAGGCTGGGGCTATCTTCCCTGGAGTGTTGGAGGCCGAGGGGTGACCTTATAGAAGTTTATAACATCATTAGGGGCATCGATAGAGTGAATTCAAGGTATTTTCCCCAGGGTAGTGGAGTCCAAAACTGGAGGGCATAGTTTTAAGGTGAGAGGGGAAAGATTTAAAAGGAACCTAAGGAGGAACTTTTTCACGCAGAGGGTGGTGTGCGTATGGAATGAATTGCTAGAGGAAGTGGTGGACGCTGATACAATTACCACATTTAAAAGGCATCTGGATGGGTATATGAATAGGAAGGGTTTAAGAGGGATATGGACCAAATGCTGGCAAATGGGACTAGATTAATTTAAGATATCTGGTTGACATAGATGATTTGGACCAAAGGGTCTGTTTCTATGCTGTACAGCTGTATGACTCTAAGATCACGTGTTATGGTAGAATAAGCTCAAGGGATCTCCTGCTCCTACCTCTTAGGTTCTTGGAAACTGTCAGGACCTCTATGTGGGTTAGAGGCAGAAACCTTCATAATATTTAAAAAGTATTTACGTGTGCACTTGTGATGCCAAGGTGCACAAGGTAATGGGCCAAATGATGGGATTGGAATAGTTTAGGTGCTCGTTTTTGATTGGCGCAGACTCAATGGGCCGAAGGGCCACTTTCTGAATTGCAGACCTCTCTGACTCTAATGCTGAGAGTCGGGGAGGTAGCAGTGAAGGTACAATGTGTTCCTCCTGCAGTGAAGCTCAGTACGAAGCTGTGAGGAAACCAGGAGAGAGTCTCCCCTCACGATATCCTGCGAGAAGGCAAACACCGTCAGCAAGCAGAGAGAGAGAGAGAGAGAGAGAGAGAGAGAGAAGGCCCTCTTTTGTATCAAAATACTTTATTGAATAAAAATAAATAAATAAAAGGTCCTTATTATTAAATACATTCCAAAATAATTCGACTGTTCCCAGTGAAATTGAAGCAAGTGTTTAAAATCCACAATCACGAAGACTATGTTTTAACACAACTCATTGCCTTCTACCTGCCACAGATACATTGTTCATTGTTGGCTTGCACATCTAACTGGAAATATTTGTGCATTTCACTCAGGTCTCCAACAGATCCCAAACACAGAGCCAGTTGCCAATTGGATTCCCAGCATTCCGGACTATCGGCTCTGGAAGGTGAAGAATATCCCCAGGGTTAGGGTGCGGGAGAAATCGGTGCTTTTGCAAAAAGGGGACTTGTTTTCTGTTCTAAGATGCTCGTGTGTGGGGGGCCAGGTTCCATGGAGTGGGGCAAAACTACCCTGCAGAGAAGTACAGTAAGCTGACCCCAAACATGAATCTTATTGTATGTGTGGAAGCAGGAGAGGAGGTGACTTGGTCAGAAGCCCCGAGGAGGGGAGTGACTCAGTCAAGGTGATGGTGTAATGAACACGAGTTCTGTTAGCGGCTACTAGTTCGAATCCCAACACGTCATCCAAGGAGTTTAAATTCTCAGCATTAACACAAATGTTTTGAACAAAAAAAAAGTGTCCCTGGGATAGGGACCATGAAACAACTGGGGGCTGTCAATGACCCACCCAGTCCTTTCAGAAAGGAAATCTACCTTCTTTGCCCAATCTGGCCATTTTGTGACTCCCATCTCACAGCAAGGTGGGTGATTCATAATTGCCCTCTGAGTGGCCCAGCGAGCCAATGAGTCATAGTCATGAAGGCAATCATAGAAGGGCAATAAGTACAGGTCCAGCTTTCTGCACACAGAAAGTAAATCTTGGTTTCAGTACAGTAGGGATCAAATTAGGAGGAAGGTTACACAGAATTCTGATAACTAATGGTTTTACAGAATGACCTTTGATTCAACAGAAAAGAAGGGGAGAGACACACAAGATAAAAGGTTACTGATCAGATGACAATCTTGGAGTTGCCACATTCAGGACTGATAAGGGTGTGTGTGTGTGTGTGTGTAGCAGTCAATGGATTTGGTTTTTGCAAAGGATGCAGAGCAAGTGGACAGTGCAGACTAATCAGTCATTGTGTGCTGTCACAGGGCCAGTCACAAAATGCTTTAACAAGCATGGGTTACATTCGATTCACAATGGCTTTGCAATAAAATCACAGCGCCCAACAATAAATTAAAGATGATACTAACTCACTCACAGAAGAAGCAATAATGATTTACATGTGTATAATGAGTACATTTTTGAGGCAGACGTTTTTAATATGAGACTTAGTGCCATTGCATGTTTGACTGGCACACAGCCCAGTATTTCTGAGATATCAGGCTGTTTAAGGACTGGTTTAGGCTGAGCCTCTCACCAAGTAACTCCAGGCACATTGGCATTAGTGTATCCCCGGGGATTCTCAGATGAAATAACATTTGTCATAAATTAAAACATAGCAGTTTAAGCATGTGCACTGCAGAGGTTTTCCAAACAATCTTTTTAACACATCAGCTTATTCAGAGCTCAATTATTGCACAATTGTTCCTTCAGATGGTCATTACGGTCGGGAGGGGGTGGGCCATCTGTCTTTGATAAAAGGAATCTCACATACAGCAGGCAAAATAAAAGGCATTTTACTCTACCGCTCCATGTAACCTCCTTGCCCGGTCCATATTTCTTAACTTAATCCCCTCAGAGTATCCCTTCTCTCTCATGTCCGAATCTAGCTTCCTCTTAAATACAAACAAACACATCACCCACTCTCAGCGACACCGAGTTCTACATTCTGGCCAGTCCCTGAGCTGCCAAGCTTCTGCCCAATTGCCCATTGGATTCATTAGTGGCTCTGTTAGATTGCAGGCCCCTACATCCCGTCTCACCTGCAAGGACCAACAGCTTCTCTATATCAACCCTGGGAAAATCCCTTGTATTATCAGTAACCTCTTGTGAGGTGCTACAGCAGATAGTTCGAAGGATGCAGGCCTGTTTCAGGGAGTGGAGGATAGGGGTAGAATTATGGATACCAGTCCACGTCCTTTAGCTCAAGGTAACCAAACTAATTCAGCCACGGTCAACTCAGAAGTGAGTGGGACATTGAGAAGTATTAACTTTTTAAAGTTAACTTTTGAAGTTAGCCATCATTGGCTGAGATCACCCATCGGAACCTTTCCAATCAAAGATGTCAATGAGGAACAGAGGGTGGGGGGAGGGGAGGAGGAAGGGGTGCTAGAAAAAGGGGTGGAGGGGGGGGATAGAAAGTGGGAAGGTACAGGGTGTAAGCTAATGCTGGAAGCACGTCTGCCCCAGTGGGTCACAGCGGTTTGCAGCTCAAAAAAAAAGCTCCTTGGCCCATTGATTCCATGCAACCACTTAACGATTGTAATCCCATTTTCTAGCACTTGGCCCATAGCCTTGTAAGCTTTGACATTGGCATCTGGACCATTTATCCACCTATTGGGGGGGTTGCGGGGGGGGAGAAGCAGAGTGTGGTTCTGCTCCCAGGGATTGGGCTCCAGTGATTTCAGTATCACGTCTCCCACCTACTGCCTCCCTCCCAACCACGCCATGACCCCTTCTCAACTGTACATATTGTAATTACAGAAGGCCATTTGACCCATCATGCCTGTGCTGGCTCTCCTCACATCCATCACTCCCACCACCCCCCACATTCCACCCCTTGAGATAATGAAAGATGCCTGCTCTTGCTCGAATATCACCCCCACCCACTTCCTGTGGGACTGTCAGAGCCAGCACAACCGTGAGACTGCCATCTCCCCTCAGCCCCGACCAGTCATCCCAAAAGAAATCACTGAATTCTAGAAAACAACAAACATAGACACGTCAGGGGGAGAAAGCCCTTCACAGGGCAAAGATTCCAAAGAAGGTCTTGCCTTCCGTCTTGTCCAAGTACTTGACCACGTTCTCGGAGACCCGTGAGAAGATCCGGTCGCCTGCCTCAAACTCAAAGATGGCACCCTGGTAGGAGGTCTTGAACCAGGGGTCAGAGTGGCTGCCGTGGTGGCAGACGGACTTTGTGGCCCTGAGCAGGATGGTCTCTTCTGGATAGGCCAAGGAGAGCTTGTGAACATCGTGACTCAGGAAGATGGTGCTCTCCTCACACTGGTCGTAGTGGAAGACCACCTGTGTGTAGATGAAGTAAAAGCCTGGTTTCTTGATCAGGAGGCTGTTGTTTGAGAACTCAACGCCGTAGGAGAACGCGATGCCCGCTTGCTCCTGCCATGTCAGTTTGTCGGACACCAGGGGAATGGGATTGGCTGGGAACGAGAGGGGAAAGAGAGAGGAGAGGGAGAGAAGAAAAAAACGAGTGTCACTTATCACGATCTTATTCCCAGTTCCACACCCTTCCCAACATGACCCCTACATTAGGGGAGGGGACATGCACTTTTTGTTGTTGTTGGATGAGAGGATGAAACATTGACAGGTAAAGGCATCCGCCAGCTCAGATCTGGAGGTCTGCTTCTCTCCACACAGATGCTGCCAGATGTGCTGAGTACTTCCAACAACTTCTAAACTTAAGGAGGCATCTCCAGTACCCGCAGTCTTTCACCCTCCTATTCCAGTTGAACCCAATTGCACTGGGAAGGGCACAGTGCCTTCTACTGCCCTAACCAAGTGCCACAATGCCAGGAGATCACTCTCTCCCAGACATGAGGGGCACTTGGACACAATGGTCCTTTACTCCTCCCCTTCAACACCCAACTTCACCCTCAGACCTTGGCCCTTTTCTTCATCCATCTCGCTGTTTAAAATCCATGCAAGACAGCAATTGTAGTGTGTGGGAAAGAGCCATTCAGCCCAACGTGTCCAGATCTAGCACCCAATGGATCCCTCAGCTAAAGCACCGCTTTGACAAACCTCTTGGCTTTGGGTCATACAATGGTATTGCTGAGTGGGAGCCAGTTCAGCAAGATTTTCCAGGGAGAGTTTTTGGGACAGTGGGGTGGAGAGTGTAACAGACTGGGGTGGAGGTATAGAACCTACAGCCCATTCAAATTCGGACATCCGAGAATCTGTTTCACTTTGCTTGGTCCTGAGACACAACTCAACCTACTCCTGACACTGACTGCACTCCCAGGAGTACATCAAATGTCTTTAAAGTACTTTGAGGCATCCAAGAATCAAAGAATAGTGACAGAATAGAAGGGAGCCTTTTGGCCCATCTTATCTATGCTGGCCACCCAGAAGATAAAAACATGTGAAGGCACTATGATAAATGCACTTTTTTTTTTTTTACATTTTACAGAAAATAAAGCATCAATCTGGTCAGCCTTCGTTCCTCTCTATGCCATCAGTATGTAATTACAGGAGAGCAGGTAACTCACTACTTCAGTTCAGATGGTGGAAGAGCCCAGAGACCGTCAGTGCTCAGCAGTGAACGCCAGAGGGCAGCTGCTGAGGGGGAGCCAGAGATGGAGGGGCAGGAAAGCAGACACCACAGAAGGAGGTGGAGGGAGAGGAAACTGTCATATCCCGAGGCTAGCGACCAACGACATCTGAGGTTAACATTCTACAGTTACAGTAAACATACACCGATCTGTGTAGTGATATGCTGCTTGCGCTGCCTATCATTACGAAGGTTAATAAACCCAGCCTTCAGCAACCCGTGAAACGTCAGCTAATCTGAACAAATACCTGTCAGGTGAGCTGCAATTCTTGGCCGTGGGTCACTCCCCACCCGCTTCATGAGATGAGGCAAACCTGGAAATGGAAAAGATGGAAACTCAATCCCTGTTGTATCACTCTCAGAGCGCAGACTGACAGACACAGAGAGGGGGAGGTGTTCATGTGTGCATCCACATCTAGAGGCAGTGGCTGCCAGGTGGGAGGGGATGGAGAGAGACAGAGAGAGAGAAATGCACAGTCAGAGAGAAAGATAAAGGCAGACAAAGAGAGACAGACAGGCAGCGGCAAAGAGAGACAGGCAGCGGCAAAGAGAGACAGGCAG